TTCCTGGCCCTACCCGGCACCCCTCCAGCTGTTCTGCCCCCTGCTTCCCAGATTCACCGCTGGTCAGTTTTAGCAGCGGCTGAATTGGGGAAGCTGGGGGCAGAGCAGCTCCAATGGTCCGGCTGCCTGGAGCACTTCCGGGTTCCTGATGGTGCCGGACCATCAGGAGTGCTGGACCGTCAGATGCCGGACCATCGGAGTTTTACTGTAGATGCATGTTTTAAATCTATTTTAAAGACTAAAGAGTTTTGGTAGGTATACATGGCCAGTAGTAATAGTGAAATTAGACTACCTGGGTCTCAAGAGAAAAATCCCTGTCCACACTGATCTGGAGAAATATACTAGCTACAACCATACGTAAACACAGAAGTTATTATTATTTATCACATGTATTACGATGGCATCAGAGATCCCATTCAGCTAGCACAGTTTCACTGGTAGTGAAAACAGGATCTAAGAATCATGACTTTACTCCTCACCTTCTGAGAGCAGTAAGCTGGAAGTTTTCCATACAATACTGTATGAAACGTCTCAGGTCAGTCTTGCTGATTCCACCAATGGGATTGATATCAGCACTGGAGCAATCATACTTAGTTAAGTATCCATGAAGACTGAAAGAGAATAAGGAACTTTTTATAACAACGAAGACCACTGAATAAGGACTTTTTATGTTTTCATGTGCATTTATAAGCCATTGATAACTTGAGGATCTGCAAACTGTAAATCTAACTGATGTCTCCATCAACCAACGAGGCAGGGTATTTAGCAAAAACAACTAAAATGCAGCCTTACCTACCTCAATACCAACTCAAATCCCACCTTTCCAGGTTCTGATTTTATAAATACATTGCATAGTTTACAAAGCGTTTTTTTAGATTTCTAATGATAAAAATATTAAAAAGACACAAAATATTAGCTTCACTCTCGTTTTCTATTTACAGGTCACCTTCACTAGTGAAGGTTGCTGAGAAAGGAAAAAGCTGTTCTTGTATTGAATTACTACACCAATTCCCAAACAACTTCCTGAAAAAATGTCTGATGATTATACTTTTCAGTTCTGTTATTTTTTCATTGATTTCCATTGCTCTCATTTTAGTCTGAAATTCATTTCCGTTCCTGGGGCACTGGTAGATACCGGCATCTGTCAAGTTACAAAAGACTGCACTGACCTTTCATCCACATTGGCTGATCCAAGCACTAGAAGCCCCCCAGGCATCCCACGAGCCCAGTGACTCAGCTGAGCAAACAGGTAGGCAAGGACCATTCTTATTCTAGCCTACAAATCAAATTGAGAAATAAGGCAGATTTACAAAGCAAAACTTTCTCCCTCATGAAACAAAATTCAAAGTCAAATTCAAATGTTCAGTAGGAACTACAATGAGCCTGGCATACTTCAGAACTAAGCTACATTTAGAACTTAGGTTTTTGCAGGTGACTACTGAGCACTGCATCCCAGTGTAATTTAACCTCACCATGTTAGTACAGAAGGAGATTTTTGCCCACAAAGGATCCAGCTCATATAAAACATACCTGCACATTCTGTAGTGCCAGATTTTCCCTGCTGCTCCCTCCATAGACACGAAACTGGGGAGATCTTCCCATCACCATACTGAAAATCCCCACAATAACTTTCACTGCCCCATCTATGTTTAGATTTATATGATAGCTGAAAAAATTACAAACACAAAGGGTTCAGTTTGCATGCTTAGGACAAGGTAAAATAGTATAAAACGAAGTATTTTAACTTGGTCTTCCTTAATGTTAAGAAAATAATCGACCTCTCAATTAATTCACCTCTAGAGCATCAAGGATACAGGAATAAGTCACAAAAGCCTGCCACTATCTAATATCCAGCTTCTAGCTTTGGGGAGCCTAGAGTGCAGACATTTCAATTTCAGTCGACTGTCTCCCTATTCTTTCCTCCACTGTTTCTGATGCCTCCCACACAAATACTCAGGTAATAAGACTAATATTTCTACATACTGCCCTTATTATTACTCTCATATACTTTCAGAAAACTTGAAACTGTACATGAAATCTTAATCACAACATTATTTAATCCAAGAATTTCTTAGTCTATACCTGCCTATCTGTTCAGCCAACAATTCAGCCCTGTTGTATGTATCCTGGGAGGAGTTCTCGCTAGCCATGTAACAAGTGGTGAAAATACGTCCACAGAATTCCTGGGAATCCACAGGAATGTAGGTTTCATCATTCACTATCCTACGTACATCAGCCAGCACATCTTGATCTGCAGACAACAGTAGACGTAAAATGAGAGAGAAGAGGAACCTTCACAGATACCTTCTACTGCTAATAATACTTTGTTTTTCCATGCCACAAATCAAGAGGATCTCAAAGCACTTTACAATAATAAAGGAACTAAACCTCACAACAGCCTTTCACAAAATAAAATATCTCTTGATTTGTTGGCATTTCAAATATGTTCTCAATTCCACCAAAGAAAATTATTGAGTTTGCTGCTGGTTTGTGTCTCTAAATATAAAAAAGTTTTGTCCCATATATTAAAAAGAAAGGAGGAAATGCTAATTGAATGAAAGGGACTAACTCAGGGCTTATGGACTATTTCAGCCCAACTCAGGGCTTGACATCCCTTATGGCTAGCACATGTGTGAAACTTAAGAACTGTGCTGGCCAACGTATCGGGCTGAATTTTACCCAAAGTTTGGATGATAAATGCAAAGCATAATCCGTATCCATGGCGCTCTCTGTACTTATGGACAGTGTGCAGAATACAGGTACTACACATGCAGCAGCTCAAGGCTCTGGCAGGGGGACAGCAG